TGTTGTTTGGCGGGCCCGGGCTGGGGATTCGAACCCGCCACCTTAGGTGTACGTGGCTGGTGCCTTAGCCGCTTGAGCCACAGGCGCCGAGCCAGAAATAAACTATCTTAAGGGTGGTGAATAGTTAGGAATGTTTACAAATAATCGAAGCTGGCTCAGCACCCATAGCACAGTGGTTTCTGTGGCAGCCACATACACCGAGGGTGGCGGGTTCAAACCTGGCCTGGGCCAACCAAACAACTGCAGCAAAAAAATAGCCAGGCATTGTGGCAGGTGCCTGTAGTCCCAGCTAATCGACAGGTTGAGGCAAAAGAATGGCTTAAGCCCAAGAGTTTGAGGTTGCTATGAGCTGTGATGCCACGGCACTCTACCGAGGGCAGCATAATAAGACTCTGTCTCAAAAAGAATAAATAAATAAAATAACTGAAGCTTTGTCTTCTTTCAGTCATGTGGTGGGATTGAATTTCCCCCATCACTTTGTTTTCGGCAATGACATGTGAGTACAAGTGGTCTGTATCACTACCAAGTGGAACTTCTGAGAATCAATGCAGTCTTCATCATGCTCGTTCCCTCTGTATGGCAATACATGAGATGGTGTCTGTTCCATCAGCTGAGACCCTGGGTGCTATCAAAAGCAGAATCACCTGCTGACTCTTGGTGGTTAAATAATATGAGCAAAAAATAAACCTTTGTTATTTTAATCCACTGCATTGCTACTGATACATGATATAAGAGAGAAAAAGTACAACTCAAAATAGAGGGGCTTTAAAAATGATTTATTCTTTCTCACAATTTGTTGGGTTAGCCAGGTGGTTCTTCTGCCGGCCCTGCCTGGGTTTAGTTATGCAGCTGCAATTAGCTAAGGGCTGAGTGCAGTGGGAACAGTAGGACAGCTGGCCCTTTCTCTCCCACAGTCTTTCATCCCTAACCCCTTATAGCATGGGAGTCCCAGGGCAACATTCCAAAAGAACCAAAGCATAAGCAGCAAGGTCTCTTGAGGCCTATCCCCTGATATCACATAACACAACTTCTGCCGCTTTCTATTGGAAAAAGAAAATTACAAATTGACTCTGAAAGGGGGGAGTGCCAAAGTCACATTGTAAAGGGGCATGAACACCAGAATAGGAGAGATTTAGGGCTATATTTTGCAAGCCACTGTGGCAACACATATTTCAGGGTTTGTGCCTAGGACATAATGAAACCTAACCTGACTGAATACTTAAATCACTAAATTTGGGGTGCCTCGTTAAGCCATCAAATTCATGTCTAACAGCTGTCTTTAAAAGAAAGAGCTCAGCTCGGCGCCTGTGGCTCAAGTGGCTACGGCACCAGCCACATACACCTAAGGTGGCGGGTTCGAATCCAGCCTGGGCCCACCAAACAAC